ATTAAAATACAACTCTATCATTGTTCTAACTCTGACAGTTCGTACAGATATACCACTCCACTGTTTAGTAATGGCTTCAGCTACACGCGATGCTCTATTAGCATTATTTCCTAAGCTGCATTTCAAAACCTTTATCTTGTATGGCTTCAGTACTGAGGACTCAAAGTGCACGGCCTTCCGGAGAACTTCACGGGGTAAATATTACATAAAATCTTAGTCTGTCTATCATCTTTCAAGGCCGCAAGTAACTCACCGGTAAATATATTGAGTTATTTAATTCATATCACGCTCATGAAGTTTTAAGATTGTACGGTGATAGATACACTTCGTGCCAGTTTAGAAAACTCATTTATCATGTTATATATATTGTATATTTGAATTCATACAAAATACCATCGAACTTCCTGCACGATCGATAAGGGCAAATTGAAAACTCTTAGCCTAACTAGAAGGAGAGTCATCATGTAATAAGTCGAGGGCATTGAGAAAAAGCTCGTACCCGGTATTGTTGTAAGATATCCTCTTGACACAGCGACGCTAGTTATAGATTGGTGCGAAAAATATCTCTAATACAACGAGAGATTGTTCCAATGTTGTCCAAGAAATGTTACGACCAGTAACAGTCTATTACGATGTAGAATTCTGCAAGGTTAAGCGTTACCGCATGCTCATTGTTAAGGCTGAACGCAATATTGTAACTTGAAGAAAGTTTATGCATGAATACGCGTAAAGTTTAAACTGTGTTATATTCGGCTTGAGCATTGTAGCAATCAGTTAAGTGGTACGACTTGTCGCCACACGGTTGATGCACGAGGTATCGTGGACACAGCACGTATTTAGCCGGCAAAGATCGAAAGCACCTCGCTATGCAACCTAAAAGTGGCATCGTCTAGAACCGATGAAGGCGACGACGATTGCCATTGACAATTTCTATTGGCAAATCTCGGTATCCTCAAGCAATTGGCAGCAAACGATACCCTTAAGAGAAACTCAAACAGAAATATAAGCGATGATTGAATCAACAGACGATTCCGCCCACATTTCTGTTGACATTTATCGTTACATTGTTGATATACGTTGTTCTTTTCATTACCGCCATCATAACCGCCGCCATCATCATCATCATCATCGACTTCGTTGTCTTCATCAGCAGAATGTTCGGCTTCTCTCTACCTCCCTCCTGCCGGAAAATTCTTCATTGTTGCCGTTGTTGGCCAGCGCATCCAAATTCGTCGCTATCGTTGCTCTTTACCGCCTTCCTGTGGAACTGATCGCTGTTATCGCTTCCACCGTCGGCTTCGACCGTCGTCGCGATCTGCGAGCGTCGTTTAGACATCATTTTGGTCATCACTCGCGGCAACCACAACAACAAATTTATCGACAACAGCAGCAGCTAGAAACAAGTGGAATCCTCCACGATCGGACGCGCCATCGTGCTTTGGGCGCGTCGGCGAAGCAGTTGATCTACTAGAGCTGTATGACAGGAAGTCCCTAACATTAGACTATTGCCTTTCAACATAGCCTTACTGTTTCTTCATCGCGTGTACCACCAGCCGCAGAAATAGCAGTAGAAGCAATGTTTGCCAGCAATGGCTAGGTTTGGATGATTCACACCCCGCTACCAGCCTTAGCAGCATTTGCAAGATGGCAGCTGAGTCAGCAGTTCCTTTTGATAGTGACGTTCGTGCGCGAGGGTAGTGCCACGATTTACGCAAAAACTTCTGTAGCATCAGAGTCAACCGTCATCGGCACTGCCGTCAACAACTACAAGTACTTCAAATGAGCGGACGAAAGTCAGCCCGTCCATCGAGCATGCTTTATGCTCGCTGCGCTATCCTTCAATGCAGTTCGGCTGAGCTGTACTAGATAGGCCTAATTTGACACTGTCCTACCTACTTGTTTCTGTGCTGCTGCCTATTCGGCACTTCTAAGTTAATGTGGCCCTCCTCGCGCTTTGCTCCTTCCTTATTGACGGGCAGTCCATCACGCACTCCCACATCCGTGCTATTTCACTTAAAAATACGACGCTAAATGATGACGGCAAACTGCAACTGTTGCCCTACCATCGTCTCTGCGTTACAGGATAGCCGCAGATACAACCATCCATTATATTATATGTACATACGAAAGTTCACTTGCCACGCTGTTCTACATGTGTAAGTGATTTGTCCATTACTGATGCCGCTATTACAGTTGGGTTTTTTTCTGGCAATTCCGTTCTGGCCGATCCTAGGTATTCATCAGAGCATTTGCCATCTTTTGTGTTTAACTACTATTAATATAACTCCAGCTGCTAAATACCACCACAAATGTATACATCTAATGCTGTTAGAAGGCGTAAGCGTAAGTCCAAGGTGAAAACACCTACGGCATTACGGTGTGCATGTATACAATATCCACAAGTTGATCGAGCGACCGCATACGGACACCAACAATGAATTCAGGAAAGGAGCGAGCAGTAAGGTAACGTCCTTAAACATGATTGGCGCTTTTTTGCCCCTTTATGCATGCCTTCTATTTGTTTCTATTGATATCAGTAAGTGAATGGGGTATTTCATGCTGGACACGTAATCAACACTTAGAAATTGTCATCGAAGAAACAAGTCGAAAAGAACAAACGGAAATGCTTACGTTATGTATAGAGTATGAACGCAAACAAGTGCTTTGGGGGGTCGATATAAATGTATTTTAACAAGAGCGCATAAAAATGGTTTGTAACAATGCGATTTTGGCTAGTTGTCGTAGAAAAAGCACTTCGCCTATACGCTTTAGGCCCTGCGATTCATCTACACTATTGTAGCACCCCCCTCGCTACACTAGATAATCCTACGGCAGTTATTTTAAGCAACAATAGCAACGAGAAAAGGACAACTCGAATAGAAGCAAAAGAAAAAACCTATTACATTGAAACATAATTACATCGTCTTTTCCTTTAAGCGAACGGTCATCACAATCATTCTAACACAGCCCTTGAACAAATCCTGTAATAACTTATGGATCAATACGGGAGCTATGCCGCACGAGATGTGTCAGACTGACATATAATGCATAATTCAAATGAAAATTTAAACACACAAAGAGATAGAAAGTTGTTATCTCTATAGTTATTTCATAACTTCTGCTGATAGCATGTGCCTGCTTGAATGCTTGGACTATACCTCTTCCAGGCCTGTTAGCAAATAACCTTTTCGTTTATGCGCAATCAAAGGTAGGAGGCTTGCTTGGGGCATCATGACTGTGATGGGCACACATGACAATTGTTTTTGCGTCTATGATTGTCACGACGACGCCCGCTTGTCAATGCGGCGTAACCGACAGCTGCGGATGCCGCAGCCGCATCTAAATTAACGTCATCGGGGTCGTTGCTGCCCACCCTATTTCTTCTTGCCCCTTCGACCTGCTACGAACGTGCTGTTTGATCGGCTGGCAGACAGCGAACGAACTAACCTAATAGAAGGGTAGATCAACGCATTTATCACAGCGTGCGGATAGAACCTGCCGCTGCTGCTGATAGTAATTGTTGATAGACTGAAGTCGTCGGTGGAAATTTGAGTCAAAAAAAAGAACCACCGTTATCATCGCCCCCACGCTTAGAGCCGAAAAGCAGGAATATCTACTGTAGTACAACTTCACTAACGTTGAGGACAACGGCAAAGATAAATGCAACAATAACAAGCACAAAAGTAAAAGATATAGCGAGCAAAAGAACAAACGACAGCAACAAGAAGTCGATCGTCCCTCGTTCATTCGCGAAAAAACGAGAGCTGTTGGCTTTTGTTACCGTGATAATGACAACTGTCGCCGTCGCTACCGCGGCCATGACGTCCGCTGTTGGACGACCACGATGCCCTATTGCAATATTGCTCCTAGCGCATCCTTGCTATGGCCGCCGTTTTCCTATGCGTGTATTGGGGATGCTGTAGCGACCAGCGCGCGCCTTGCTTATGCTACTTGTTGGTGTGACTGACTGGAGATCGACTTACTATAGACTGAAGTAGAAATAATACAAAAAGAAAAAAAATGACGTGGTGACTGTTATCGATAGTTTCAGCCGGAAAGCTACAGCTATCGCAGCAGAACCGCTGTTGCTAGTTCTACTGATGCGCACAAACAGTTTACACAGATAGATAGCCGAAGGAACCTGATTTTTTTTCTTTTTTCATTGGCAACTTCAAGCACGCGATAGATGTACGACAAAAGGGACTTGAGTGGGGCAAACATTGAATTGCTATTCATTGTCGCTAGTGTTGCTGCGCAAACGTTGATCTATGTACGAGCTAGATCGACGGCTATTTTGGGCGTGCACCTATATATCGGAATGCGTTCTATATGTTTACATTAAACTAAAATAGAGTTGCGTACGGGTTATTGAGATTCTTGAGGTGCTTGTTTCTTCAAAATATTGGGGATGGATGATAGAGTAAAATTAAGTCCATGGTCTATGGTTGCGCTTTCAATAGAGCTCTATTCAACACTGGCGATCATGTGCCGTCCGAGATGCGTAGAAACGTATTCTGAGAGCCTCAGATATTTGGTGCCTTTAGAATCCACAGAGAAGCAACGATAAGGAAGAGAAATCGGAAAAATCTGAACGAGTAATAATGCATACCTCTATTTACACGTATGAGCTCAGACAATTGGCAGAATATACCCGCGTAGTATCAGGCAGGCGAAAAGTGAGGTAGAGGAAGACCACGTTTAAGAAAAATTTCTAAAGAACCGCACTCAGTAGGGGAATAGGCTTGCCTCAATTTATCTACGAAGGCTTTATTAAAGAGAATGGATGAATATCAAGCTCGATCATACTTTTGAAGTTCAATACCGATTTAGCCGCAGTAGAGTAGCAGCATAAATGTTCGTTGCATAAACCCTATCACTTCACAGATCGGCGAAATTTAACTTAAGAATGAAAAAAAAATCAATACTAAGCAAATATGAAAACAGTTAAATTTTTCGTACGTTACGGGAAAATTTATTTACAAAATATCTTCAGCATTTTAAAAAAGAATTACAGTTTTTCGCACGTCTCGAAATGGGGTCAGTCTTCCAAGCTAGTCCAACATATATTATCCACGGTCCGACATCGCTTCTGTGGCCAGGTCTTGAATATCTGTTTTCGCAGCAATCCTCTGCTTTTCCCCAATTAAAGTCCCCACGACGACTGCCATATTTATCGAGTTTGATGTCCTCTTTTTCTCGTGATATATTCGTACAAGTTACTGACCGTAACTTTAACATGAAGTCGTTTAACTGTCCGGTATCGTTGACGGGCAGTAAGACAACTCGCAACTTATACTTTCCGTTTGCAAAATGCACATGTGCCTATACGCTCCTCCTCTATACGCCACAAGCACCATCTTGAAAACTTTGAATCTTGCAACGTTCTTTACCACTCATATGTATACAAAGCATAGGGAACTGTCTTCATTATCGAGGAAACGAAAATAGGCCATTTCGTTATTCTTAGGTAAAATTTTCCACTGATTCGCGACTTTTTTTTCGTTAGATTCCCAGGCTCAGTTTTTTCTTTCGTTCGATGAACCACACCAGCAACAATGCAAAATCTAAATAAAAAGATGGCCACAACTCTGAGCACTAATGCCGCTAAAAGAAAGCATAACATTTAAATCCTAGAACTCCTCTATTGCAATAGCTTGAGATAGCTTTCGTCCAATTTCGCAACGTACATACAACAAAATATGTATATGTGGTTGAGATAGTTCATTTTGTATATGTGCTTCTGTATGCTGTTATTCGTGTGTGTTATTGTGCTTTATTATGTGGTCGTAGGCAATCACTATTGAATTGGTGACTCCGCAGGCCCTGTTCGATCGATGCTTGACCCCAATCTTTGCCGGATTTTGATGTGAGTAAGCTTGCTAGACCACTGCCATCATCGATGTCGTTCGTCAGTTGAGTGTAGCTGGAATAAATGTCCGCTGTAGCGCGACAGCAAGCGCTCACCGAGTCTCCGCAAGCTGAAAGCGACAAAGGCGCTGCGTGTGGCATAAGCGATTACGGCAACGAAAAAGAATCAAAATCACGATTAAGGCAGTGCAGTGCTGGCGATGACAATACTGATTGTGATGATAGAGTGAGGGCATTCGAAACGAAGAAATTCACATTAGGACTAAAGGGCAATGAACGAATGTCAGCCAAGCTTTACTTCAGCGCACAAGAAGCAGTACTCAGCAAGTTATGGCCAGGACGTCCTCTCTAAAGAAACTTGTCGTCGTTGCCTTCAGGCGTCATAACGCATCGTAGAAACTGAGGGAGGGGACACTGCACGAACGTTTCGGCAGCACGTCTATATATGCCTGTATCTTTACCTGTAATTTCATTTTACGTAAGGATGCCTTAGCTCTGAATACACGGTCCGTTCGTTACAACATTAGTAGCCATACTAAAATAATCTGCTTTTTGACGAACGAAGAATAGCAATGGGCATGTTATAGAATAAAAAAGAAACATAACACTATAGAAAGAAAACATAGCACTGCAAATCTATGAATGGTATCGACGTGTTTTGGGCCAACCTGAGCAGCCATGACAACGTAAGGGTTCCGACATAAGGCCGAACGTAAATGAGACTTATGTCTAGTTTTGTTTGTCGAAAAGGACCAGCGCTCTCTTCCTCGACGTTCGCAGCCTAAGTACGTTACACCTATAGCTGTAAAAGCTAAACTATGTTGCAGTAGTCGTTGTTTTGTTATTTCAATATGTCCGCAATCAACTTACTTGTGCCGATCATGCGGGAGCGCACGTATTACATTACATGAGCATCGACGGCAAAGCCGCTTCTTGCCGATGCCCGTCGTCAACCACACGTGTCCTGAAAATATGCGATTATATGTAACGCCCCGGTGATCCTTTAGAAGGAAACACCTACACGCCAGGCTACCTACGATAAGTTTATGCGACTATTGCTAGTGTTTAGCAAATACAGTTTAAAGAACGAGGCTGTCTTCCGATTTTATACTAGCAGGGGGTGTAATCGGCAGTTCTGTGTACTTTCTAAGCCGAGGCTGAAAGCTACATGCTGCATATCCATGAAAGTAACCGTAAGCCACTGGCTACCTTTAAAGCAACCGAAAAAAGGCCAAACATTTTATACATGAGCGATTGCTGCTTGTGGTTGCACATCTGTGCCTCGCTTTATAAGGCTTTAAGCGACCAAGCGGCTGACTTGGTAGGCACTCTAGGCCATTGTTGTTTAACACCGCTTTTTGGGATTTTCTGATGATGATTTGGTGATCTTATAAGAGTAGCCAGATGTACTCACGTGCAATATATCCAGCAAATCGTCCAGTAAGTATTTTTTTTAAATATTATTTACGTTTTACTACGAAATGATAAGTACTTTAAATGATCGCAAATACTAAATATACTGAAAAAACTTAAACATAATTTAAATCATCACATGACATGACCCGTTGTAGTTTTTTAGTTTGGCTTAATTTAAAAGTTGCGGTTAAATGGGATGAAATAAGGCGGTGAACTAATTTACAGTAGGTGCCAATTTTGAAGGCCATGTCAGATCAGAACTACTAGTCTTTCGCGCTAAGGGTCCCTCTTCTCCTGAAGTGGCACCCTAATGCTAACTTTGTTTCGGGGCATTGAGCTGCGTACTTCGCCGTGAGCAAGGTAAGTATTACTCTATTCTTTCCTAGAACATGGCTTCAAAGTGGTACTTGAAAAGCGACACATTTTCCATTCGTACTATGTTAGTTGTACTAGATGCTAGATGCATTCAGAACAGAAAAAAACAAAATGGAATACCTTTGTGGTGATGTACGGTTGTACGTGGTATCAATTGTATGCATCTTGTCGTGTTTCTTATAATCGAAGTGACCATAGGCAAGCTAAGAGCTAGTGAGCGGCAGCCTTCGGCAAACGGATATTTTAATGGTAAGCTCTTTCCGGAAGAGGAAGCTTTTTTAATTCTTTTCAAATAGCGACTCAGTTAATCTTTTTTTCACGTATTCGACTAGCAAAACGGGACTTTTCTATGAAAAAAATTGACACTCTTATAACATATTAACTTGACGTTTAGGTAACTCTCTGTTAAAGCTAACTTGTACTTTAATTGTACATTTTATTTCTCCACACACATCGCTAGCCAAATACTCCTCCTAATTAGCAGGAAAAATCTTTCGCTAAAGTGTGTTTAAGAAAGACTGGTATGAATATGGTTGTTTATACACTTAATAAAAGACGACGTTAGATGTTACTACTTTGATAAGATTTTCACCATACCGTATTTGCCCTTGAGCAATGTCATATTTGGCATATGATAGAGAAGGGTCTTATTATATATACAATGAACTTTTATTTCTATCTAATATAATGCGCGTTTTACTTCATACTGACTTGAAAAAAATAATGTTTAGAAATTTCAATTTTGCTAGCTTCGTTTTGTTAACGGATCTGATGGAAGCATGGCCATGTAGAGAACGACGTAAACGATTGGGCGCTGTAAGGGGATCCAGGGTCTAATACCGAAATGACGTTACGGCTGAGGAACAACTTCAAAAAGCTCGTTACTTCACTCCATTTGACAGTATCGCTGTTATACGGATAGTCAGATAACATGCATCGGATATCACCGTCTAATTATTTCAGTTAGCTATATCGCACTTCCTTTCTTGCAAGTTTTCCTTATTAAAATGGCTAAAATTCGTGTACGGCATCTTTCACAGTCGACGCTTCCTGTTCACGAAGGAGCACAGCCAGAAAGTCCCACGATATCTCAGCGTAGCAGAGGTAAAATAAGTCATCGTAGGACATTATTACACTAATATGAATACGATATAGAAGTGCAGATGTACAAAGTCTAAGATCTGACACCCAAACACGTAATTATGTTAGCATCTGAGTTACTCACTCCCACATTCAGCGGAACGCCTTTCTATCGTTCCCGAATGTTTACCCATATCGGTCAGCAGAAGTAAAACTACTCTTTTAATCGAATGTAGTAGTGTAGGTAATCACTGGGCAGAGTAAGGAACAATTGACTAACATTTTACCGTATTTAACGCTTTCGGCATAGTGTAACTCACGTAATTTCAGTGCGTACGAAGTATAATTTCTGGCATCTCGAATGGAACGAGTGTTGACCATGCGTCTCAAATGCTACTTCAAAAAATGGATAGCCGTTTAGGCAGCTATCTTTTATCTCGATTTATATAGGCTACCTATAAACGCTAGGTTTTATCATGGGTGCGTACCAGCCTATTTTAGCTGCTGGTACTTTGTGTCGAGTAGTAACAATTATTTAGTGACGTTTAAAAAGGACGAGATCCACAACGCCAAAACTAGCGTCTCATCTCTTTCTTCAGATACGAAGCGCCTTCAGCAGACTTTACATAACCGACTTCATTGGAAATTTCGTAGCTGATATTCAAATGATGGAAAATGTGAAGGGTGGTTAAAATGAAAAACTCTGACTGAATAAAAGCAGCCGTAACGCTGTTAGGCCTAGGCCGTGGCTTAACGGCTTTTTGGAACGATCGGAATTGTGTACACAAACCTCCACGCGCTCTGTTACATCTGATTAGCATTAATATCGTTGCGATCCCTACCGGCAATGCATTTCAGCCTGGCCTCATCAGGCCACAGTCTGTTCGAAATCGACATTTTCAAAAAACAGAGTTCAGTGGATAGCCAGAATGCACCTACATAGGTACAGTAAAATATTTTAAAATTTCAGTCTCTATATTTCGTGTCCTTAAAAATCAATATTTCACTTTAGGTCTTAATTCTATTTAGATTGGCAGAGTGTTTGGGTTCGGCGGTTACGATAGTGTCGTTGATTGTCAGTACACGTAAGATGTCGATGCTGATATATGGAATAGGACAGTGATGTATTTGTTGTCTCGGCATCATTCTTATTGGGTAATGTTATCTCCGCGGAACAATCCAAGTATGTCAAAGTTCGTCTATCGTTATTGCATTGCGTGCGGCCATTACTGATACCATCAGCATTTCATTTAGTGTCTGCTTGCCACCGCTGAATAAATATCGATTAATTGAGATGTTATTAGAATCGTATTAGTCAACCGTAAGCACAGCCCCGTTGACAGGAACAGAGGCTGCAGAAGCTATGGGTATCATTCTATAACGCCTGCTATAAAAGTATTACGAGTGGTAGCGGTGTTCCGATGGTACCGCATAGCCACGTTCCCACCTTTTCACTTATATAGATGCTGCTCCTGCCACACAAACGACAACTTGCCGATAGACCAACGAGCTAGATATTTGTAAACGCACAACCATTTGAATTTACCGCGCAAACATGATTCACCGACAGGTATATGGCCATAGCCACACTTAAGAGTCCTATGGCTTCGCGCAAAATCGAAACGGCACTATGTCATAAAAGCATAAAGAGTAAACATTGATATTTGTCGACGATTCATTGCCTGTCGAGCTACTAGCGTAATGTAAAAGGTCCTGCTGGTCTCTCGACACGGCCTTAATGGGTCGGACAGTGTAAACCATTACTGTTGCTGGAACCTAGGTGATGTCGGACACAGTGCAGCATAATCATGTTACTTCACGGACAAACATTAACACAATACTGCGTATTTGTTATTATTAGAAAGTTACCTTCCTTCGTTTTTCGCACAAATTTATAACACCCTACCAGGACATTTTGTCGGCAGATATCAAGCCAGTTCAGATTAGGGCACCTCTTCAGTCACTCCAGTAGCTGGTTGGAGAAGCAAGCAAATATATATATGTATGAGAGCGGTAAGAAAGCTAATTTCGAAACAGTCGATCTTTACCAAATAAGTTATTTATTTTTCATCGAATGGCATTTTAAAGACTGCATAATAATATTTTTCTCTTCGTGGCTATTAATGCAACAAAACTTTAAGAGACAACTGCATCCAGTAAGTTAGTGTTCTCAAAGAGATCTGCCCTTTAGCCTGAGAACTTATTTGAGAGTCTTATTAAGTGAAGTGTTTTTAATCTTTTCTTAATTATTAGATCTTTCACACGTTTCTATTCATAATCAATGTTTTCTCTTTCAACTAAAAAATTAGTTCACAGTCCTAATCAATCAAGATTGGCTTGTACGCCCACACAAGGCATTGCTTTATTGCTAGCGACTTCCAGCGAATAGTTAGATTTTGTGTATTTGAATTGCTGGCATGATATTATAAAGCGTGACAGCTTATTCTTCCTATAGAAGCGGACGTGAAAAGGCAAGAAGACACTTATTCGTTACTTACCCATATGGGCTTACTTGTGCGTAGTGTCTGAGTAGATGTCTGTGCTAGACAGCGCGGTGGTGTTTTTACAGGGCCTACCTAAAAAGGCTGTTGCTGGGCAGGCATGGGTGTTGCCGGAATGAGACACTATAGGCTGTAAACGAGATAGGAAGCGTAGAGAAGCCATCTGTTAATGCAACAGACGAACCGAGACAAAAACGACAAGCAGTAAGACGGCAAACAACACGATCAAATATAAACACAAAGATCTAATCAAATATTCACTTAGTTATGTTATCGTATCGAGCTGGGCGTCGATCGATATGGCACAACAGAGAATTAATACCCTGTATATCCCTCGACGATGGCCTTGGATAAACGACTACGCTGAGCGTTCAGTAGATATAATGTTAGCGAAAATAGATGTTGAAAGAAGAGCCCACCGATGATAGACTGATCTATAATATGATCAGTCACGGATCAGCTGTAACACGTACAGAACAAAGTACAGCCGAGAAGATATCCTATAAGTATATTTGTGCATCGATATTTAAACGCTGTAGGTGTGAAAGGAACTGAAACATCTGTTTACCTAACTAGACTAATTCATTTATCGAGCCAGTTTGTTAATTTGTAATCCAGTTTTACATAACATAATCTGGCACTACTTTGGGCTATATCAGGCTTCGACTCTCAGTAAATAAAAAGGTTTAGGGCTTGCTTGTAACCGGTCAAAATGTGGGTTTCTGTTATGAGATGGTAAATGCGCCATAGAATTATACGAAGGCCCTCAGCATGCACCAGCAATGCCCAATCCAGGCCAAATAAAAATAACGCGGATATCTACTTTTGTCTTGAATTCTGTTATAAGAGCTATAATTTAAGAAATATCAGACAATTACATTGCAGATTTAGCTACTGTAATTCATAATCTATATATATAATAGATTTAAACAAGGCGCTAAGCTGCACTTCCCTCGATTGAAGAAATCGATTAGGGTTAGACCTTACTAGCAAACTGTAAACAAGGCCCTATTTGTTACGCAGCGTCACCGCACGTCGTATATCTAGCAGTTTGATGTATATAACCAAGTTATAGATATATATTGAATAGTAAATTAGATATTAGGCGATAGATTTCGATGTATAGTCTTTCTCTTAACTTGGCTCAACGTTACTTTAATACTAATGAACTTAGGTTACGTATTGAAACCTGTACCAGACAGAAGTGTGCAAGATACTATAATTCAACGATGAGTGTTGTTATTTAGCAATTCCAGAAATGTCTGCTTAATCTGAAGTACGACTCATTAGTCTGTCATCTTTTTGTGTCTACTAACTGTATCAACATTTCAAGTCGAAAACTTATTCACTTTGTTTACCTTTCAACACAAAAACAAGCTTAAGATAGGCTAACGACCTATCGATTTGCTGTAAATCACCTATTTTCAGGGGAAAAAAAAGCCGCTTCCCGCTCTAACTAAAGATGCTGGCGTTATTTATATTGAAGTCAAGCGCGGCGTTTCTGGCAATTTGATAACATCTCGATGTCTTCATCATACATGTCAAATCTTCTAATACACGAAGGTGTCGACGTCTCCCGATGCAGTCAGCCACGCAAGGGAATAGCGAACGAGCAAGCTGCCCTGTCTATAGAAGTGCAGGTACATAAACTCGCGACAAAGCCATAAATCAATTACTTCAGATGTGTCTGAATGCGCGTACTCTGCGTCTATTTCAGCTTCGGATCAAACGTTAAACATGATCTTTAACACCATTTTCGAAGTATAAAAAGTTATTTTAATATAGCACAATCGAAAAACTTTTTTTATTTAAAAACATTAGTGATTTACAACATCAGTAGTGGCCCCCTCAAAAAGCGAAATTAAAAAACCGTTTCTAAGATTGTTTGATAAGACAAACGGTAGTAACGCCTGCACGTTTATTATCTCGAAAGACAGTGATAAACACGTGAGTGTTAATACTACGTTGGGAATCAGCAACGCTGGAAAGAATCTGATCTCGAGAAGTGTTTACAAAATCTTTGCGATTATGCAGAATACGCGTTTAGTAAGACAGATGTAACATCCAGAAGTGTTGCCTTCAACTTGGGCAAAAGGAGTGCCAAATAAGTTACAAATGTAACTAAAATAATATTAGTTACCCCTAGAACCTGCACGTTAGACATAGCGTTAATATTGTCTTGTTTTTTTTTTTTGCTTAATTTTGTCACGTTTTCGAGGGGAAATTGAGGTACTGATTCATTCCATTTTGGATCATATTCAAATCGTAGCTGGAGTAAGTTTACGATTGATGTCGATGGAAGAGAAGAATTCAGATCACTAATTACGCCCGTTACCTTGAGTCGTACACGATGGACATCTAATAGGTTCATATAGATATATTGGTTACTTGGTAGTATTGAAGGTAGCTCAACTGCGTTGTTTGGTAAACATCAAACTTCAGTAGACGCCTATATAAATTCGCTCTGATTCAACTCTACATCTCGTAGCTGTCGCGCTCGCGAAATTCGGAAGCCATTGTGTTTTCCTGGGTATATAGATTCCTTCCTAATAAATTTACACGTTGATTAGAAACCGACAGTATTAATTTCCCTTAGCAGCCTTCACTCTGCCAACGGCGACTCTCAGTTTGGAGATGGTAAACGGGTACGCATCAGTGGCGAAACTTGCCATATCTACCGCATGACATAATAAAATATCATTAATACTAGCATTTGTTGCCATCTTTCCGTAGTTCAGTCACGTCTTTTACTACTCTTTTTTTAGGTTGCTTTTTTTCGTTGAGCTGCGTTTTCAGATTAGTCTTCTGTTAGTGCCCGCCCGACAGTCGCGCGTCCTGATGGGAGACGTACGCATACACCGACGTATTATTAACACAAACTGCCGATTGGTTGGTTTGCTAGGTTGGCAGCCGGATGCACTTCACCCTACGGAAAATGTCTTCGCTTCCGTCTCCATTTGCAGTCGAATCTAGTCGTCGCAGTGGTGAGTGAGCGGCCGAACGAGCGCCTTCTCGCTCAAATCTTTCCTGTCTTTACGTAACGAAGAACGGCGACGACTGCTTGCGGGCTGCTAAGGCCTACAGCGGTGTAACTCCAGCATGGAAGTTCCGCTGCTGCTAGAACCACTCTCTCCATTGCTACCTAGTGCCGCTGTCGACGATGCCAAGATTATGGGAGCCACTATAGTTGTCACGCTGCTGCTGCTACTGTTGCACGTTGTTCCTTAAAATCTCTACGGACTCTCGGACTTTGCCCGTTACTCATGTTTACGTAACGTGCTTCAACACAGTTTCTGGCAGCCAGCATCAGAAATTCTGGAAATCGAACAAAACACCAGAGGCGTCCACGGCAACAACGACAATCACAGTTACATAAACCACCGCTGTCAGCGTCGCGCATAGGCGATCAATACAGTAGAAACAATAACGACGACGACAGTCAGCCGGACAAACCCAAATCAGCTGAAGCATTGATAGTCAGTCCTAGCTAGAAGAAGCGTCAACTGAACGACAATTTTCGACAACAAAAACCTGAAAGGCGAAGGTACTTTTTTTTGTTTTTTTTTGTAGTTAAAGCGAGAACGCTTCAGCACAACTGGCAGAGGCAAACATCTTACAGTTCATCTCACATTTATACATACAAAAATAATAACGATAATAACATTAATAATAACAACTTAACGTATATGGTGCATGTGCCAGGCAAACAGAATTGCCAAATGATAGACACAGATTTGCTTTTGTCACTTATATGGTCGTAATAGCTCTCGGCCCATCATGCGCTCTGGGCATATGGCAAACGTTTGCCTCAGACAGAGATATCGCTTTCCAGAATCTCGCTTCGGATACGTTGGATGGTCTAAAAGCTACATTTCGATCCATGCCTTGCTAATAGATATAGATCATGCATATAATAATAATAACTTTTTTTTATTTACTACATAGGTTGTGTAGTACATGTCGTTCTCAAGACTTGAAGCAGCGATTCCTGGTCTCTTTCAGTCACAGGCTTGGCTATCGCATCGACGACTATATAAACACAGGACACGACATATTCGATGGTAAGGACCAATTAAAATCAAATTACCACTTCCTGGAAGAGGCCACCGACAGTTTTGAGCAAAAGCACTTTTTAGCTAAAAAAATATACTTTGCTTGAAATAAAAGTGACTGAGCTTTAATAAATACCACTTGTCTATTTTAAACATGAACTAATCTCTAATAAGACATCTCCGCTATGACCAGACCGTTCTAACAAGTCCAATCTGCACATTCGGTGCTATGACTATTCTAAACGAGATCCCAACGGATGGAGGCTGATCATTGCCTTTGGCAGGACCATATAAAAAAATTATCTTCCGCTTTCAATAAGCAATTTCTTTAAAATTTTTCTAAAATGTATGGGTCACAATACCCAAGGAGTAACAAAGATAGCTTTTCGTGCGTGTCAAAAATAAAATAAAGAATCGATGGCCTATTGGGAAGCCACCCTTTGTCCTGCCCTCTAGAGGCACATTAATTGTCGGATACATGTAATTTATGGCTTCATGAAGTGAATTAGTAGTGGGATACGTTTGCCTACCAGTTACCCTCGTTAGGGCATTAAATTTTCCGTAATTACTAGGACCTATATTGGGGGAATTATCGGGTTGATGTCAAAGTTACCTAATCCTTTGCTCTATAAGGAAGTGATTGAAGCACAGCAAAAAAAAATCTAGCATTGTTATTAAGTAACTAGACTGCGTACTCTTGGTTGCATTGCTAACACTTCCAAAACCTTTTTCGAAACTCGAGAAATGAGGGCTGTTGTCACTGCTTCATTTTCAGTGGGTGGTCCATGGTAGAGTATGCTTTTCTTGTTTACTACCTTACGTCCGTACCCCTTCAACACAGCCATCGAACCCGATTTCTTTTGAGGGTGACGCCGTTTCCTTTCCTGGTGGCAATAGAGACTGAATCGTGCCTCGTCAATGGCGACCGTAAAGACCAAGCGGGTTTTTTGTCGATTAAAATTCCACAGATTGCACGTAAAATACGCCACTTTCATTTTCAACTGGGCTGGAGTCAATTTATGGAACACCTTTTTTTCCCAGTCTCCGCATATTCAGCATTTAGTCTATAATCCTGTAGCATATTAGATGTAAAATGCAAGTGTTGGGCAACATAATCCTTTTTTCGTGGAAGGCTTCCTCGATTCGGCAATGGCGTTCTGTCCTTCTGGTCCACTTCTCGGTCACTTCCCCGGTTGCCCTCAATACTTCAATCTTCGTTCTTGAGACGTTTGCATCATTTACGAAATATGTTTTTCTTTAAGGCCTGGTTGCCTTATGTACTCATAGAATCTTCAATGAATTTTCGTAGCGCTGCAGCCCTTGAGGAACAAAAACGTGACCACTAAGCGCTTATCTCTGAGAGGCAAAAATCGTTTTCGTTTTGAAGTCGTTTCTCCCAGAGTAAACTTGAACCGGATATATTTTTACAATATGTGACTGTCTACAATAAAGAAACTTTAAAGCTGTAAGAAAATGGTCAATGCTCAGCAAGCATAATGATTATGTTTAGGTCGGATTTACCCCTTTGTAACCTAAATCTTGGAAAATTTAACTTGGACAACCTTACTAAGCACGTTAGGGTTATTTTAATTAGCGTTTTTTGAATACAATAATTCACATCCGATCACCAAAGCTAATAGTTATTGTTGATTTGTTTTAACTATTTACATTGCCTAGTAACATGTTGTCATACTAATCGACACGGCTCAAAGCTATCCAAATAGGCGAATTTCGACTTCGAAATCTGAATGGGTACCGTAAAGAAATCCGACCGCCAAACGCCATGTGCGGCTCACGTATTTGCAGACTAGGCTAGCGAATATCCCAGCCGTAATTTCATGAAAGTCAATTCCGCCAGCTCTTGGGATAAACGCCGGAGTCGCCGCTACACAGTCTTGATTTGAATAACAGGACTTTGGCGTCGGTTCACAATGGAAACCCCGTTCGGCCGTTTCTTTAACCACAGGTAACACCTTTCTAACTTCAGCTGTAGTGTAAGATTTCTTTCTTCTAATCCGACGGCTCTTCTTTTAACGATTAACTCTGAAAGGTGAAACGTTATTGGAAGACCGTAAAGTCACGTGTTCGTATGACAGGATTAACGCCATTCAGACAAACGTTTATGCACTATGGTCTATCGATATTTCCCACGTCAAAAACATGCCAATATTGAAGGTGTGAATTGTTGTATTTCTACACAAGGCGTCTATGTATGGCCAGTCGAGACGAGCTGATGGTCAGGTCAGTTAGCAATTCTAATAATCATTCGCGTAGGAAGCTGTTAGGTATAGCGTAGGCCTTTGTGCAGGCTGATTCAGGGCCTAAAAGTATTGACTTTCTTCGAGCTTAAATGTATTCTTGCAATATAGTGATCCCGTTTCGTGTTTGATAACAATGCATTGAGCCGATTTAATTAATACGACCCCAAGCATATTATGAACAACGCGTCTAGGAACTATATTTTAGCCAATAATATAACCATCTAAACCATTGCGGAGATCCTAAACTTAAACAGGCCGAGGATTTCGCAAAGGCATTGAAGTAGCCGCGTAATCAGTCATCTGGCTTAGTATAAGTTAGAGAATAAAGATCTGGTCTTATTTAATTTGATCCAGAATATTTATAATGTGTAGATCAATGTGTATTAAAACTGCAGTGTGATAGGGGCAAAACGTGAATGGTTAATAGAAAGTATGGAAAAGAAACGTTAAACAGACAGCTTGAAGTATCGAAAACACATCTCGTTTTCGAAAGGCATTGCCACTAAGCCTGCGATCTGGGCTGATCGTAACGACTACGACTATAGAAATAATAGGACGGCAAAAACAGAAAAAAAATCCTGCGAAAAATTGTTACAAAAACAATAGGAATATAGGGCGACCAATCACTAATCCAGACGCAGACAAAAAAATAATGATTACTGATTTTTTTCGTTCGCATTCAGCCAGCTAGGTTGCCTGGAGCCATACTCAGTCGCCCAGGTCGTGTGGCAGGCTTATGTTTTTGTTGTCGTTGAGAGCCTGCGACTCATAGCTTCAATTATAGAGCTTGTTGGATTTCTTGTTTTAAGCAATGCATCATCATAAATGCCAATATCGACAGTTGGCTGAGACGACGTTTAACAGAAAACTAAGTCAAATACAGAAATCACTGCGGTACTGAGTTTTATTATTAAGAGTTTCCATTAGAAAATGTTTTCAAGCAGAAATCTAACAATACAGCACAAACTATTCAGAGGCAGAAGAACGATAGAAAGCACTCATGTTAACTTTAATCTATATGTTTGGTTATACCGTGCCTTTAAACCGACGAAGCGAGGATAATTTTCTGTCGGAAGTATTTCGGTTTATGCGTTTTGTGTGTAACAGCTGTATAACCACGCAGAGGGAAGGAAAGCTGCTAAGGCCATACAGGCAGATGTGTATAAGCTTATATATATATTGTCCAACCTTTCAGTTCAAACCCGAATTAATCTGAGAAAAATATCTTTTACATCTTTAGTTTCTTGTATCACAGGCCTGAACAGTGCAAACAGAATAAATCTATTATGATTCAATAAAAAAAGCCAATATATATATATATATATACTGCCTTTTTTTTATTGAATCTATATAATATATATATATTACGTAGATATTGGCGTCTAAAAAAAAGAGATTTCAAGCAAATGTGTTACGGCTATTTTATTTATGATTTAAAGTGACCAAACTATCAAAATGTATATCTCCATAACGAAGCATATTTTGGTATCTTTAGAGATCTATGGGAAAAATCACGGACCAAATTAAAGCGTTCAGGCTACCACACTTTTCATGTCGGTGAAAATACACGCATCTCTGAATGGCTTTGGTGAAGCAACCCAATGGAAAAAAAATAAGAAAAATTGTTTCAGGATATCTGATAAGGGTGACATTTATTTGGGTGCGGAAGTTTATTAACTGGAGCCTGCCTGTGAATTCCCATGAGGTATGACTGTATATGGGTTAGAAGTGAACGATGTCAAATTCCTTTGCGCTCACGGGACAGAAATTTGTTACAATTTGGGTTGCAAGACTTTTTTTGACTGCAAAATATCTTTTGGGGCGGATTTTAATAAGCGGAGCTATACATTTTTTGGGTACTACTGAACGTTTGCTAAGCCATAGAGCAATAAAAGTACTCGGTTCAATTTTCTAGTCAAGCAGAATTTTCTAAAAAAATTAAAGCAAACTGTATTCTATCGAGGTTGCTATATCTAGTTATAATATATTATACATAATCATCCTTGACCAGAAGGAGGTGTCACCGAGATGCCAGGATAGTTACCTTCGCATAGATTTAGGCGATCACCGGATATACAACTGTGACTCTGACCTACACCGTTGACTTCTAACATCTCCGGTCAATAGCATCATGCTCAACAAGAGCTTATACATTTAGCCTTTAGTATTTCCTGAGCAGACCGGACCTATTCAGGCTGTCTCTAGATAAATACCGTAAAATTTCCAAGTTGGTGAAATTGCCGCTCTCGGGAAAGGTCCAAGCAACAGATACCGAAGGCCTGATCCCAAACACAAACCTCCTTACAGCTAGGACAAATTGTGTAGTAGATTAAATGTATTATCCAACGTCATGGTTTCCTAACGTACCTATTTTCGGAGCGCCTAGCCGATCACAGTTCCTGCCAAGTCTGTGCATAACTAAAACTACAAATGGATATAAATAAAAGCCTATAAATAGATCAAACGTTTAATGCAGAGTCTGCGCCTTGACGAACCGTGCGACGGCGACGACGGCTTTCAGAAAACATTTTAGGACAGTATAATCGTATTCGACAGCGGGTGGTGAGACTTCAGCGCGACATTCAATCGCTCCAACTCATGTGTCAAGATCCGGCTACTCACACGAAGAACTGTTTCCGATGGACGCTTATCAAGCAATTTCTCGGCAATGTAGTTAAACAGAAAGATCTTGTGCTGAAGGGGCAACGGATAGGCAGCAATAGGCAGCGGCTTCTATCGCGTTCGCATAGAAGCTGCTGCCTAATACGCATGAACCGCGAGACTCCACAGAAACGCCAAATAATGCTCCTGGATCTCCGTTGTGTGTCTTTTTTCCGAAAGGGCAGACGTAGAGGAATTTCTGGGGG